AAGGACTGCACTCCGCACCTCCAAATGCCGGAGAATGCCCAAGGTGAATGGTTTGCTTTTAAGATGTTCTTTTTGGAGGGGGGGTCACGGGGACGCGACGCCATCTGCAACGAGGGGCAAAGCTCTCGGATGCAGCTACCACTGGTGCAGTCGTGACCCGGGTGCCCTGTCATGCAGTATCCTGGCTGCAGGGAGCATGGGCGGAAGCAGGTGGGCTGTATCTGCTTGGAGACACCAAAGGACTTTTGAGATCATCTGCCAGCCACAGGCGGGAAATCATCAAATAGCTTTGGCATATTGTTGCTGTTGTTGTTGTTGTTGTTGTTGTGGTTGTGGTTGTTGTTGTTGTTGTTGGTGGTGGTGGTGGTGGTGATGGTGGTGGTGGTGGTGGTGTTCTTGTTCCCATGGTTCTCAGTTATTATATCATTATACCACGAAGAAGAGCTTTGATCTCCATTTGGTGCCCAACGGATGGTCCTGGTAGGTGGCCAGGTGGTTTTTCAGGTGGGGACATTCTATTATTCATTATGATTCTATGTGTGGGTTCCTTGTGCGCCCGCCTGGTCCAGGCATCCTGGTCCATCATTGTCCCATCAATTCAACATGTACGCACAAACACAGGCAGATACGTATCACCTTGATGTACTCTGAACACTTCAGGATCTTTGGGTCTTTAGGATACCAATTGCTGCAAGAACTCCTACAAAAAGAACCCAAAAGTGAGAGATCTGACGAAGAACTTCGGGTCCCCGGGCCTCCTTTGGAAGCTTGGGGCAGGGGAACTCTGAGACTCTGAGGTCTTTTGCCCGAAACCTACCAACCACCCCTGGCTGGCATCGGCACAAAATCCATTCACAGTCTTTCGCAATTTCTGGCGCAACTTCCCTTGTTGTCATCCTTGTTCTCCCTTCATGCTGGAGGTTGAATCCCAAACTCCCAGCCCAAAAAAACATATGTACATGGCGCCATGTTCCCTTCCCGCCACTGCGTGCAAGGGAAAGCAGACGCTTGGCCTGCACAGAAGAACCGGTTGCCACCAGGCCAGGCCTTCTTCGCAGGGAATCGAGGAGTTTGGGTGCCAGTCTGCGGCAGGTCTACTAAGTCTGAACTGGAGGGAGGTGAAACACGCGTGGGCTTGAAGCTGGCCGGGACTGGGTCTATATTGCATTGACCTCCGTGTCAAACACCTCAATGTAGTTGATTAATGCTAAATTTCAAAAAAACCACTTAGCCTATCTCTGATGGCTTTGCCAAAAAAATATATAACAAAAATCAAAAAATAAAAACAGAGCGAACAAAAGCTAGCCTGGGTCCGGCGAACAAGCTAAATATGGCCATCCCAGTCCAATGTCAATCCGTTCTGTCTCGCCGGTTGGAACGGTCCAAGGGCCGGTGGGCGGCTGACGCCCAGTCCGGGTCGGTCCGGCCATTGGAGATCCCACGACACCTCTGCCCCCCCCAGTGCACGGTGAAGCTTTTTGGGGCAAAGGCACGGCTGGCCGCGCGAGGAAAAACACCCCGCGCGGCGATCCTATCGAATTGAAGCGAGACTGGCGCACGCCGGTCGAGGATTTCCAGCAAGGTTTGGAGCTCCAGGCTTTGACCCACAGCCATATATATATATATCACCTATGGGGAGGTGCTGTGAGTCCAAAAGAAGTTGGGGTGGCCGTCTTTGAGTCTTTGGTTGGGACGGGTAAGAATGAATGGTTGGAACCATTCCATCTCAGAATTGGTTTAAGGGAACATCTATGGGAAAAACATTTTTCACTAAAGCTATAATGGTTTTCCTGTATGTAGGTTTTCCCTTACACCAATACGGGTGAAGGATCAAAAAAAATTGATAGGGATCAAAAAAAATTGCTTGAGGAGATCATTTTAAAAATAATTTAGATCAAAAAAATATTACAGTAGTAGTGGTAGTAGTAGTAGTAGTCGTCGTAGTCGTAGTCGTAGTAGTAGCAGTCGTAGTAGTACTAGTAGTAGTAGCAGTAGTAGTAGTAGTCGTAGTGGTAGTAGGAGTAGTAGTAGTAGTGGTGGTGGTGGTGGT